CTCATGGCATTCACAGTTATATGAAAGAGAAAGATCTCCAGAATACCACCTTGGGGATTTCAACTTTCTAGTTCCACTGAGGCATAATGAAAGAATAAAAAAGCTAAAGGGCTGAGAGCAAGAGATTTTCTCAAGGCAATTCTAAAAATCAAAAATGGGTTGACAATCATTTTTTCTGTAAAGAAATGGATGGTAAGTATCTTAGATTATGTGGCCCCGTGGCCTCTCAACTACTCATCTCTGCTGTTGTAGTATGAAACCAGCCAGCGGACACTACATGAATGAATAGACGTGGCAGAGTATGCCAATAAATCTTTGTTTATGCAAAAGAAGAGGCTGGATTTGGCCCATGAGCTACCTTCTGCTTCCCCGGACTTAGAATTTCTAGTGATGCATCAGACTTTGAAAGCACAATTTAAATTTTTAATAAGACACAGTATGGTCCAAAGCAAATCACTGAACTTGCAAATACCTAGCTGAATCTCAGAGAGACTAAATAAATGTTTAAATCTTTCCAGGCTTTCCTATTTGCCTTCTTTCTCTATCACATAACTATAGTAAAGACAATTAAATCCACTACAAATTTTAAAATTTCTACCAAATACTATGGAAAATTTGGTGTTAAGCTCCAAAAATTTAGCTTTTCAACTTCTATACTAAATTTGTAAATCCAATGTAACAGTTTTTTTCTTGGCCTTAGATAGATTTTTTTTTCATTTTTCTTTTATTATTCATATGTGCATACAAGGCTTGGGTCATTTCTCCCCCCTGCCCCCACCCCCTCCCTTACACCCACTCCACCCCCTCCCTCTCCCCCCCCTCAATACCCAGCAGAAACTATTTTGCCCTTATTTCTAATTTTGTTGTAGAGAGAGTATAAGCAATAATAGGAAGGAACAAGGGTTTTTGCTGGTTGAGATAAGGATAGCTACACAGGGCATTGACTCACATTGATTTCCTGTGCGTGGGTGTTACCTTCTAGGTTAATTCTTTTTGATCAGAAAGATAGATTTTATAGACAATTTTTAAAAAGGGTATCAAATTAAATATTTATAACCACTTTAATCACTGGAACTGACTCATCATTAATTGAAGTATTTGTCTGGTAGAACACTGAAAATGCTCTCTTTATTTGGATATTTCGATTATATTTTGTCACAATGATAACTTGGACTAGTAGTACAATTATGATGTAACTGATTAGTGAATAATGTAGGATGTAATTCGACTTACCTAATTAGTGCATGTATAGGAAACTGTCTTGTCCAAGATGTTCAGATCAGATGAACAGTGGGTAAGTATGCAGTTTAGGGGGCATCTCTATTAACTTCACACATAAAAACTAGAGAATGCCATTTAAAATTAAAGCTGTTTTCTCAGTTTAAGGCTGATTTTAATTCTCATGTAATTCTGAGTTTAGCTTTAATATTCAACAGGCTTGGATAACTGATTAAAAACATACTGATTTCAGATACATAGAAAATATTATGTTATTTCCCACAGTGATTTGTAATTCTATTGTACTTTATGTTATAGGATAATTTGCAAGCTATTTGAAATATTAAGCATTTAGAATGTTTCATTCTGTGTTTCTCAGTCTTTTAAAAGTAAAAGCCTAAAGGAAAATATGTAGGGAAAAAGTTTTCATTTCAGACTTTAGTGAATTAACTTTATTAGTGAATTTGGTAAGGGTATGATGATGTCAAAGGGAAGATTGTTTAAGATAAAAGACAAACAGAACCTAACTCGGCATTAGACTTTTTCTACAAAGATTTTTGAAAATTCAAGTAATCTCTTCTTGAAAATTTCAAGAAGGGTATGTAAGCTTAGCTGGCTTCAAGGTCTACAGGGCTTCTGAGGTGTCTAATGTTGAAAATACCGAGTTGACTCTCCAGTTAAGAAAAGCTGGAGAGAGGAAAGGAAAATTTTTGTTCTGAAAATGTGTTTTCGGATGCAAATAGAAATCCAAAAGAAGAAGTAGAGATGAGTTGTCCTAATTTAGTGTTTTGAACAGAGACAAGAAGAATATGAATTTACATTAAAGAAAAACCAACCTTTTGTTTTTTCTAAGTATTAGTTTATAAGCTCATATGTCTTTTCTCTGAGAAAATTTTCCAAGCCCTGAGAGTCATAAAAATTAACTTGAAACACTGGAATACAGTTTGGAAAAGAAGGATATAGAGAATCTTTATTTTTAAAAAGTTACATAAAAAACAAGTGTTAGCAATCAGTACTTTTATTTCTGGTATTTTATCCACTTAAAAGAAAACTTTTGGTTTGGGAAGATGGAAACATTCAAATATTAAAAGTATTCCATAGTAAATATTATTAATAAAACCTTATAATATCAAAAATAGAAGTAATAAATTTACTACAAATTACTGACTAAATCAGTTTTAACCTTCTGCAAATCAGTAACTGGAGTAGAATAAAATTTTAGCATTCATACTGTAAAATTCAGAAGACACAGAATGCCAAACACTAATGAACAGCACATTTTTAATTAGCAAAAATAATGCTACTTGTGGTTTTTAGGTATTTTTTAAATAATGTGATGAAGATAATAATAATTACACCACATATATATATAGTATATAGTACATACAGTCCTTATTCTAGTTGTCCTATTTATTGTTTATATTAATCCATAACAAGCCTGTAAAGTAGGTATTAAATTTTTATTAGCTTATATTAATTGTAGAAAGTAATAGGTTTCTTTATGGCATTTCTATATATGAGCATAATATACTCTGTTAACATGAGGAAATGAGCATACAAAGTGAAACACCAGTGCAAATGGAATTTGATGTTACTAGGATTTGTTGTCATTGTTACTTAATGAACACTTTACATGTAATCAGTAGTTTATATGACTAACACAAATGAATACTAATTCTTTAATATGACTTGGTCATAGGTTCAAAGGCAGAGTTCATGATTAGTTTTCTTCAAAGGTTAATTTACCTCACACAGGGAGGCAGTTCTTACTCTTATTTGAAGATTTTTTTATGATAGCCACATCCCTTTGTGGGAAAGTAACATTACATTAAAAAATGATTCCATGTTGATCAAAAATATAATCTAAAATAATCTTGTGAATGGGTTTGCGTTGTTATATAATCTGTTGTCCAGATTTAGAGATCAAATAAGGATTAACTCTATAACATTAAGAAAAGACATTAGATATGTATACATAATCTAAATGTCCATTGGCAAATGAACGGATACAGAAAATGTTATATATACATACAACAAAATACTGTGCAGCCTTAAAAAAAGGAGGAAATTCAGTAATATGCATGGATGAACAGAGGGGCATTATGCTAAATGAAATAAACCAGTCACAGAATGGCATGATTCCATTTAGGTAGTGTCTAAAATAGTCAAATTCATAGAATCAAAGAGTGAAATGGTGGCTACCAGAGGCAGGGGAGGGGAACAGGTAGTCAATGATCAGAAGTATAAAGTCTCAGTCAGGAAAGATGAATAAGCCCTAACAATTTGCACTTATTGTCAATGATATGTCTCGCAGACTTCAAATTTTGTAAAGGAAGTAGATGTCATGTCAAATGTTCTTACCATAAAGGAAAATAACTTATTAAGAAAAGACGACACAAAAGCATATACTCACAATAAGTCTCGAATTTACTTCAAATACATGTTCTTTTGCTATTATAGTCAATTCCTGTATGCATGTGGAAAATACGTACAATTCCTTTGCTGCATGACTACTTTGAACTAGATTATTTAAAATAAATTTGCTTTCTGGGGAAAGCCAGTGGACTTTTTTTTTGCCTCAGAATTATGCATTCAGAGGGTTAGACACCTATCAGGAATTTGTCTGGATAAAATGATCATAAAAATACTCTCAGAAGATGCTCACATATTTAATCCCACAGAAAATGATTTTATGGATGGTTAATTTATCTAGAAAGGCTCTTAGCAATTTTTACTCTGGTGACAAGTTCTCATTTGTGGACACTTACTGGTAGCCTTACAGGTGTGGGGATTTTCTTTTATCATAGCAAAGTTGACTTCAGGTTAAGTGTGTAAGACTGAATGGTGTCATGAGCTTCTATTACACTCCTCACCTACTACTTCACTGCCAACTGCAGGATAGGATCTTATTTTCTATTTATTTTGTTTGCCATTTTGATTATAATTAAATTTGTGCATAAAATTTCCTCATACATATATTATGTTTTACTTATTTGTTGTGTTATAGCATATACCACAAGACACAGCTTATATATTTGTTTTATATTTACACATTTATTACATAATAGTACTTTATATAGTATGAGGCATACTAAACTTAAAATGTACAACCTTATGAGCAACACTGTATAATTTTATATGATTATTATAGAGATTACATTAAACATCTCATCTTAGTGCTTGTCTTGCTCATTATTTAAGACTAAAGATTTGTTGAAAAGACAACAAACCAAATTTGATCTATTATTTTCTGCTACTACTTGGGCTCCTATGTTAATAAAACACACTGTATTGAAGTGATTTTATTTTGCAAAGCTTCAAAGTGCATCCTGAATTCTGAAAAGCACATTCTCAGTTATGTTTTGAAACAGAATTATAGCAGAAGATAATTTACTGAAATCAAATTTATTAGAACCATAGTGGGGTTATCATAGAAAGCTTAAAGGGCATGTAAATTTCTACAAATATTATAAGCAATTAAATGTATGGCAAGACCCCCTAAAAATCTAGTCCTGCCACTATCTTCATAAGTGTAATGTTAAGTTAGAAATTCCTAGGAGTCTAGCATGAAATTATTCATTATTGCTTTTTTGTTGCCAGATTGAATTTATGTTTACAGATATTATTAGAATATGTAATTAAATTAGAAAACTGATCTTAGATGGAGATTTCTACATCATATGATAAAAGGACATTTTAAGTATTTTAAAATTTCATGCTACTTTAAGAGCCACTGCTTGAGCTGGTGGAAGTGGCAGTGAAGCTCTTTGGAAGACACTCACCCTCTTCTGTTCCTTGACATACTCTATCAGCTCATCTCTTGTTCTTTTCACTGCCTCTTCCACAGCCTTCTCACTTCGCTTCTGCTCCTCTATTATTGCTGCCTTAATAGTTTCCTGTGTGTGGGAAGTGGAAAAAAGTCAGAGAGGTATTTACCAAGACATGTTTGTATTTATCTTACATAAACTAGTAATCCTCTTCAGTGGGTGCGAGCCCATTTTGTTCAAAGCCTATCTTTAAACAAGCAATATGATATTTACAAATCTCTTGAGACCTGTTAGCTTTTACAGAACTCTTTCCTAAACAGAGTAAAAGGGAATAGAAAAGGAGTAAGTCAGGTGCAAGGAGCACCTGACAGGACTCCGCTGGCTTCATTACAACCTTTCACTTGATGCTTGCATGACTGATTGCCTTCCTGTACTTTGCACAACATGCACAAGACTGCCAATGTGTGTCTGTTCTAACAATGACCAAATGATCTAGCTATTTTATTCACATTTAATTTAGTCAGCAAATAGTAATCTAGTGAGGACTTACAACTAATTTGGTCCTCCTGCCAGGTTAAGAGTTGAGATGTGAACACCAGGAATAAGTGATAGAAATTCCACCCTGAGTGCTTGTGTTTGTAATGAGAGTTCTTGAATTATAATTCAGACACCTGAGAGATTTCAGAATAACAGATAAAGAGAAAAAAGCCTAAAATTCTAAAAACAAAATGCAGCACTTCTCATGAAGTAGCAATATTTTCTGCTAAACAGTGTGTCTGGGTTGAAACGAATGTTCCAAAACAAAACTCTTTAAATTCCATTTATTTATATAGGTACCATCCTTTTTCTATTGGACAGCAAGATAATCAATTAAAAAATACCTCAAGGCCAGGCATGCTGGCTGAAGCCTATAGTCCTTACTACTTGGGAGATAGAGATCAGGAGTACTGTGGTTTCAGGACAGCCCAGTGAAAAAGTTAGGAAGACTCTGATCTCAACAAATAAAGCTGGGAATGAATGGTACATGTCTGTAACCCCAGTTAGCAGGGGCATACATAGGAAAACTGTAAGTCCCAGACAAAAAACAAGACCCTATCTAAAAAAGAAAAGAAAATGCCTTGAAGTTTCTCAGAATATTTATTCACTTTTGATTCTTTGGGTTTTTCTCTTTGTAGTATTTTCCCTTAGGTTATCCCAATCAGTTTATACACATGTGACCCAGAAGATATAAATAATATTAAGGATCTTTATTCCAAATCAATGTATTATAGAAATATTCACAATACAGAAAATACAAACACATAGCAATTTCATGTACACATAGAGAGACTGAATATATAGAGAGTGGTACTTAAACTGTACATGACATTTTCTAACTCCTCCATTTTTCACTTAAATTTTGAGTTATCTTCTTAAGCCATGATGCATCTTTCATAATATGATTTCTACCCCTCACAAAGTTGCACGATGACTTATTTCCCCAGTCTTTATTCATGCCCGCTTTGGCTATTTTTTTTTTTAAAGTAAATCAGCAATGACCATCCCATTCACATCTTTGTGGTACAGTTAGATATTTATGGGGAATCAATTTAAAAAAAGGAGTTATTTTGGCCAAAAGATATGAACTCTTTTATGACATTTGACATTCTAAATGAATAAATGGAATCAGTTTCTATAATGTATAATTAAGAGGATCATGTCAAAAGTCATGTAGGGTTGAAAACTTATGTGGTATTTTATATAAGACTTAACAATTTCTGGGCTAGATGCAGTGGCTCACACTAGTAATTCTAGCTACTCAGCAGGCAGACATCAAGAGAATGGTGGTTTGAAACCAGTGAGGCCATAAGTTAGTGAGACCCCCATCTCAACAAATAAGACAGGTATGAAGGAACAAATCTCTAATTCCAGCTATGAGAGAGACACAGGTAGGAGGATGATGGTCGGAGACCAGCTGGTGTAAAAGCATGAGACCCTCTCTGAAAAATAACTTAAAAAGCAAAAAAAGATGGGAGCTTGGCATAAGTGGTAGAGTGCTTGCCTAGTAAGAACAAGACTGAGTTCAAATCCCAGTATCACAAAAAAAGAAGGATTTAAACATTTCTCTTTATTGCTTAAAAGTAAATTTTTCCTCAAGAATCCATCAATTCTGCCATACAGTTCAGTAATTACAGGGTCATTAACCAATAAAAGTTCTGTGACTGTATATTCTTCACAGTAAACTTTTGAAAAAGACTTAAACGTAGTTATTTGTGGGAAGCAAATCTCAGCTACCATCTTGGCCCTAGGCTGTGGATTATAACCCACATTATCATGTGGTTTGTTATTTAAATTCTCTGGGGTAACTGCACTCCTCATTTACTTTTTCTTTCATTCACAATGCATGCACATTATGTAATTATGAATTATTTTAAAAGCTGCACATGGTTGTGTAATGCATCATAGAAAATAAGTGACAAGATGGGTATGGTGGTATATGCATATAATCTCAGCTACTCAGGTGGCAGAGGTAGGAGGATTGAGAGCACGAGGACTGACTGGGCAAGGTTAGCAAGACTATCTCAAAAACAAAATAAGGGGTAAGCAAGATTGTGATCTACTATTTTGACTCTGTGAATAAAAAGAGTCAGCAACACAGGAGAGACTATATTCTAAAGACAGAAAGAAAGGAAGAGCACTGGCAACAGAGAAAAGCAGCAAACAGTTCCAAGCCTGCTCTGAATACTCTTTCACAAGGTAAGCCAGAGAGCCCTGGTGACAGACTGACAGTTCTAGCTACACACCTGCTGGAAGCTGTACACCCAGCACTGGGATTTGGTGGTAAGGCAGGCTAGGTTAGTCTGGGAGTGCACCCCTCTTGGCTCAAGGGCTCCTCCCCCTAGCCCACAGGTGAGAGGAGCTAGGTGATGCTGTATTGTCTCCTCATCTCCAAATCCAAGGTGGTATAAAAATGACCTACCAAGAGACCCCGGCCCTTCTTCCCTTCTCTCACCTGGCAGAACACGTGACTCCCTTCCCTCAATAAAGCTGATCTACCTCACCCCATCCATGTATTCTGCTTGGATTCTCCCATTTGGAACACGAGGACCAAGATCTTTTGAATGCACCATTTGCCAATAACATTTGTGGCAACAGCAGCAAGGGGCAACTGACGGATGAGATCCCAATAAGCCATCTCTGCTAATCCTTTTAATTTCAATCCATCTTTCACTGTCTTCAGGTCACATGCCTCACCACCTGATATTTCAGAACCAACACCATTCACACTTGGGTGGTATGGGACCCTCATGTTGGGACATCCACCTAAAGCTCAAGGCTCATTTGGAGCCCCAGTGCAAATGGGCCGCACCCTGATTGGCAGGATGCAACATTAACCAGCAGGACTCAGCAGCTCCTGTGAGCACCCCAAGGCACAGGGTTTGTGTCCAAGTTCCCTGGTCCTGCCCCAGGGGATGGACCACTTAAAGCTAGCTGCCCCTTCCCTAACCTTCCCTTCCCTAGCCCTAAATCCTCCACCAGGTCCATTCCTTTGCTGTGTTGTGGGAGATTGTACTCCAAGGTTTCTAACCCCCCATGTGGCCAGGGACAATTGGAAATGCCCCCTCCATTTGGGCTTGGATCCACCCCCTTCTTTCCTCTCTCACTCTCTAACCAGCGGTTTTGAGAGAACAAATGGGTGTTACACCTCACTCAACCCATCAGGGCACAGGATTTTTGTTAAAAGAAGAAAAGAAACTGGCTTCAGAGGGGCTGACTGATGTCTGCCCTGGGAGACATATTTTTCCATGGCTGCTTGGAATAACAGGGAAGGGAGACACATGAACAGTGAGCAAATAAACTGCTACCTGTGGGTTGGGAGATTTGAGTGCCCCTTGCACTCACCCCTGGGGGGGGGCATAAAACTACAGGCATTGAGACCAGTCAGGGAATGTACTGGAATGGTAAAGGGAACAGAGACTTACTGCCCCATCCTGACTGCTGCCATCCCTTAGGGTGTGGCACGCACATGCAGGGTGGCATACACAGGCAGCATGGCACAGTTCCACGGCCCACCCCCTCAGGGCAGACCCATGCACTTTTTGAGCCCACCCCTCAGACAGACGGAAGTCCCACCTCCAGAGAACTGGAGTGGATCTCTACTCTGTGTGGTCCTCCAGTCCCTCCCATCAGGCCTATACATAGCACAAGCCCTGGCTCTGCTTCACAGCCTGGGCTGCAAGTTCCATAAACCAGTCACATGGTGTTGACCTGCGTCAGTAGAGGACAGCAACCATGACCACTGAGGCATCAGGGGTGGCAGTGTGTGTTCTGTAATCGTAACCACCACAACTACAGCATGCAAAAGGGGCTACAGCACACGCTTGTGCATGCATGCACGCTGGGGCCCACTGTATGGGCAGGCAACCTTTGCCCAGCAGGCTCCAGCTGGAAGGCTTCCAGTGCCTGAGCTGGCTGAAAGAGGGAGCACAAAAGCATGGCAGTTCCACCGCCAATGAGAAGGCCAGGGAGGCTTGGGGCACTGGGAACAAAGCAGGCGATAGCCCAGTAGCTCACAAGAACCATCGCATGCTCTCCCCAGCTCAATAGCAACAGTGGTGAAAGGAGGCAGGGGCTACATGCCGCCAACACCTGGGTCCACAGCCCCCACTCAGGGAACCAAAAAACCAATTTTTTTTTTTTTAAAAAGGGCACCATTCTCTGGTGATCAAGGTCCTGTGCCTGGCCATACTGCAAACCACCTTCTATCAATCTGCAACCTTCTCTGTCTTCCTCCTTTGACCCACTCCTTTGTCTGCCTACCTGCCATGTCCCTTTGCCCAAAACACCCCATCTCAACACTCCTTGCCCCCATGGTCTACAGTGGTTATAGAAATGCTCACCCTGAGGTCACATTCCCTTGTCCCAGGGCTGACAAGAACTTGTCTGCCTATCTTGGCCTCAGATTCTAAATTCCATCCAAAGGGAAAATCTAAATTAACATATAGGTTACATCTGTGTAGCTTCAATGTTGTCTGTTATTGTCTTTAAATGTTAAATGTATTTAAATTCTCTTAAGTATGTTTTCTAAAATTAAAAACAGTGCCATTTAATTAAGGATTTAACACTGGTCATCCAAGAAGTATATCTGT